GGCTCGCGATCGGTTTCTCGAGAGAGAAGCAGATCGCAATCGATCAGTTGTCTCCCTCGCCAGGAGGTGCAGGACATGGAGGCTTCTGTCTCCAAACCATCCCGTGAGAGGTCCCCGGGAAGCGAGGGAGAGGAGGCGCCTCCCTCCCATAAAAAGAAAATTAGAACTGGTGGACAAGGCACTTCCAAACCCCATAAAACGTAATCTTCGCGTCGACCATTATACAATGGAACTGTCGAAGTATTAGATCTAAAGTATATGACCTTAAATTATTAGCCTCGTCCTATGCTCCCGATATTATAGTTCTCCAAGAAACACATTTAACAGAATTCGTCTCTGACGAGGTTGTTTCGCTGAGGAACTACCATCTGTGTAGGAAGGATCGTGAGGGTAGGGGTGGAGGCGGAGTCGCCATGTACATCCACCAACACCTCCCTTTTACAGAAGTGACTTTTAATTCTACTTTGGAGTTTGTCGCATGCAAAGTAAAAATTAATGGCACGTATCTGGCTATATGTTCAGTTTATTGTCCACCTGATACAGTGATAATCTATGATGAACTTTTTGCTCTTCAGGAACGTTTGCCACAAAATAAAGTAATTTTAGGTGATTTTAATGCTCATCATACTTATGGGGTTCCCTGCGGGTGGATGGTAGGGGTGAGCAAGTAGTTAAGCTGATTAATGAGTCTGAATTAGTCCTTCTGAACGATGGTAGGTCCCACGCGGGTGGACGATAATACCGGTAATTTGAGCTTTATTGACCTATCACTGGTCTCTTCATCAGTAGCAGCTAAGTGCCTGTGGCACACCATTGACGACTCGTTGGGAAGCGATCACCTGCCTATTTTGATTGAATATTCATGCGACACAGTGAAAACGCCTTCAGCGCCTAAATTTAACGTAAAAAGAGCAGACTGGGTCGCCTTCACAAGGAGCGTCAAGCTCAAACTAGTTGGAGAAACCATTGATGATAAAGTAAACAACATTCAGAATTCGATTATAGAAGCAGCTTTGCTATCCATTCCTAAAACTTCGACAGATAGCGTTAAGCATAGAGTTCCATGGTGGACACCAGATTGCCGCAGGGCGCTGTGCCGACGCAATAAGGCCTACAGGCTTTTCAAAAATAACATCACAAATGAGAACTTTTGCAACTACAAACTAGCAAGAGCTAGGGCTCGTAGAGTAATCAGACAAGCTAAAAGAGACTCCTGGTGGAGCTTTGTCTCTACAATAAACAGCAACACAAAAACATCTGAGGTTTGGTCCACTATCAATAAAATCAATAAGAAAAAAACATCTTTTAAAATTAAAAACATCATTGACGAAGGTAACAATTTAGATTCACCTAGAGACATTGCTAATGCACTCGCCAGGCAGTTCTCTCATACAAGCTGCTCAGCAAACTACCATCCCGCCTTCCTGCCCATCAAGGAAGCGGCTGAGCTGCAACCAATTCACTTTGCCACAGGAGATCACAATAGATGAGCTTGTCCGAGCCCTAGAAGCCTGTAGAGGAACATCCCCAGGCCCCGATGAGATTCGATATGAGATGATAAAGCATCTTAATCATGATGACATGATTAAGTTGCTAGAAGTGTACAATGAAATTTGGAAAAGCCACACTTTTCCAAACTCATGGCACTTCACCCACATCATTCCCATATTGAAAGGAGGGGGTAATCCCAAACTTGCCATCTCCTACCGCCCAATTGCGTTGACAAGTTGCTTATGCAAAGTCATGGAACAAATTATTAACAGTAGGCTATTACATTTCTTAAATTCCAGTAATTTGCTAGTTGACGAGCAGTGCAGTTTCCAAAAGGGACGCCAAACTCTCGATCAACTAGTAAAGCTGGATAGTCATATTCAAGAGGCCATTGCCAATAAAGATTTTTTGATTTCAGTATTTTTAGACATAGAAAAAGCCTACGACATGACATGGCGATATGGCCTACTCAGAAAACTTTATGCTTTTGGATTACGTGGAAACTTGCCTTGTTTTATTCAAAATTTCATTTCTGACAGAACTTTTTCTGTCAAATTATTTTCTGACAATGTCACTTTTTCGGACATTTTTGTCCAGGCAAACGGTGTCCCACAAGGAAGTGTCTTGTCACCAATATTATTTCTGTGTATGATTAATGACATCTTACCAGCTCCTCCTCGGAATCTTAAATACTCACTGTACGCTGATGATTGTGCATTATGGTACTCCAGCAATAATGCAGAATTCTCAGCAAATCGCATCCAATTGGCACTGGATATGATTCATAACTGGGGCCTCCAGTGGGGTTTTAAGTTTTCCATTAGAAAGAGTATTGAGGTAATTTTTTCACATTGGAAAAAGCCGAACATCAGGCTAACTCTAGACAACCACCCAATACCAATTGGACTCAATTGGAAAGACCATATTGGATAGTTAAAGAATAAATGTCAAAAAGCTCTAAATTTATTAAAGTGCATTTCTGGTAATAAATGGGGAGCTGATAGACAGTCTTTGCTAATGATATATAAAGCCCTGATTAGGTCTAAAGTAGATTATGGGTCAATCGTGTATGGTTCGGCATCGAGAACAAGTTTGAAAGGTTTGGATGCTGTGCAGAATGCTTGTTTGTGTGTGTGTGTGTGTGTGTGTGGGAGCCCTAAAATGCACTAGGATCGAGCCTCTTGAGGTGGAGTCAGGAGTACCTCCCCTCCGACTCAGACGCGGCCAGTTAGCCCTGAGCTATGCCGCAAAGGTGGCTCGAGACCCGAACCACCCTAATGGCAATGGAGGTACTAGGCCCTTTGCCACGAGACTCCACGACCTCGTCGAGAAAGTCCAGATAGATCTCTCTACCATCGATACCCTGGTTCAGTCAAATATAGCGCCATGGGAAACCCCCAATTTTTCTATCATGGAAGCCTGGCGTCCATCAGCCAAGGCCATGGTGCTGGAGGTGGAGGTACGCCAGAGGTTCAGAGAGATCCTTATTAAACATCTCCCTTATTTTCATATATATACCGACGGCTCCAAGACAGATGAATGTGTGGGTGCGGGTATATGGTCGCCTGAATGTGAACTAAAGTTCAGACTGCCGAATCATACATCGATTTTTATTGCTGAACTTTTTGCTATTGATAAAGCCATTGATTTTGCACTATCGACGACCCACGATAGAATAGTTAATTTTTTCTGACTCACTAAGTTCACTTAAAGCTATTAAATCCTTAGTTACATGGTGCCAATAAATCAATCAAGCTAATATGGGTGCCAGGCCACTCTGGTATCCATGGCAATGAACAGGCTGACAAACTAGCCGGGTCAACTGGCAATCTGGACACTAACATAGTTCGTACAGCAAAAATACATCTGTGGCAAAGTGAGTGGACCAACCTCCAACTCAACAACAAAATACAACCAACCATAGTACTGTGGGGGACATCCCACAGGAAAGAAAGAAGGGAGGAGGTGGTGTTGGCCCGCCTAAGGGTCAACGCTACAAGACTCACCCACCTCACTCCATATATTGAAAAAAGATTTCCTCCACAATGTCCCCTCTGCAATACCAACCTTACCCTTGCCCATATCCTGACAGTCTGCCAACAACATCACATCCATAGACAAAAACTAAAAAATTATTTTTGATTAATAAATAAAGAATTCACACTAATAAATATATTATCAGATAATGAAAAAATAATAAGTGAAGTAATCACTTTTTTAAGGGAGACAAAACTTTATGACCTTATATAGATTGATAGAATAAATAGGATCCATTGGCTTAATAACCTTGGCCTCATGCCGCTGGTTGATAGCCAAGAAATCCAACAAACAAACAACAAACAAATATTATAGAAAAGGAAGGAAAAAATATGCTAGGCAATATTATCACATACAACTACGTGGTAATCCTATTTTTTATTTGTTTTCAAGTATACAATTTTGAGATGGTGAACCATTCGTCGGGAGAGAAGATCACATTGTTTTTGTGTGTGTGTGTGTGTGTGTGTGTGTGTGTGTGTGTGTGTGTGTGTGTGTGTGTGTGTGTGTGTGTGTGTGTGGAATATCGGCTGTCTTCTTCCAAAATGTTAATGGCGCGCAATTCACCTAAATTACATAAATTTTCATTATATATGTTACACAGAGGCTTCATGACTAAACATGGGAGGACAAATAAACATGGATAGATAGATTTTATTTCGAACTGTAAACCAAAAACGGTAATCAGCGTGTAATAAATGATATACAAAATGAGAGGCGAATATAGGCAATAGACGACTTTATCCTATGTTTATTTTTATTTCATTACCAATTTTCTAATAAATTATATGAAAGCATTCATCCTTTTGAGAGTGTAAGCTGTTAGAAACAAGCGATGCGAGGTCCTTATCATTCAATTAGGAAATTAAAACGGAATGTCTGTTTCTTCATGTATTATCATGTGCATTTAATTCCATACATTAAATTATAAGTGACGGTGACTGTCTAGACACTTTTAACCATTTTTTAATGTTATACATGAATCCAGGGGCATCGTTGGGTGGGCAATAGCCCCCCACCCCTCAAGGTCTGACTTGCCCCACCCACTTTTTTTTCTAAATTACACCTTTAAAACTGTGATCGTAGCTTAAATGGAGGGGGGGGGGGTTGCAGCATCCTAGAAACTGCTTGAATGCACTAGTGTTTCATATAAAATCCCAGTTCCATGAACTCTGGATGGCTGTAAATTTATTTGGCAAGCTGTAAAAGCTGTGGCATGCACTGCAAAGCTCCCTGCCTGAGCTCAATCTCTCAGGCAACAAGTCAAAGGTTTTTACCCATATTATATCATGAAATAAACTTTACAAGCCCAGAACAATGAGATGTGAAAAATAAATTCTATAATTCCATCAGATAAAAAGAAAGAAATAGCATTAGACTGAGAACAGATATTAGACTAATAATTACAGATAAATAAGTACAGCAATATGTTGATATTAATCAAGACAAAAAAATTCTTTCTTATGACTTAC